GCTTATATAAACTACCGCCTGATTTTGAATAAGGGGAGAACGTTGCATTAATCATATTGATTGGATGTGCGTTTGTCTTGTCCAGTTTCCCGTTTTCCTGAGGTTCCCTGGCTTTACTTTCTGTAACTTTTTCTTGCCTTTGTATCTTGTTTTGTGATCGCTTGTTCTTGCTACAATTGACAACAGGAGAGTCTGACTCTGAGTCGTCAGAATCTGAACTCAGTGGGAGTGGGCAGCGCCGCGCCACCGTGGTGGGGTGGGGGCTGCCTGGGGCGGGGGTCTGCGCTGCTGTTGTCTGTGTAACTGTCTCTGCGATCCCGCTAGCAGGGCTGTGCCCGGCCCCCCCAAACCGCGCCAGGTTGCTTGCTGCCGCCGCCGCCGCTGCCGCCGGGTACCGGCGAGCCGCGCTTCTGCGTATGCACGCACCCGCGGCAGCCCCCGCCGCTGCCGCGGCGGGGGGGCAAGGGACCAGCGCTGCCGCGCTCCTGTCTCCGCCCTGGTCTCCGCCTTGATCTCCGCCCCGAGTTCCTCCTCCTGACTCAGCCCTGTTTCGTCACCAACTCCGCCTGCCTCCTCAGGTGTCTCCCCGCCTCCGGAGGGACCCGACGGGGCCCCTTCCGGCTTTGCCTCACTCCGCGGAACCGCCGAGCTGTTAACATCCGCTGCTTGCGAGCGCACTTCCGCTCCGGGCGCGGCCATGCTTCCGCTTTGTCCCGTGTCAGCAGGCTCTGCGCTTCCCTCCAAACGAGCTACAAAATCCTTGACAGAGAGACTGACTGGAGCTTTCTGCCCTTGCACTGGCCGCATATTACAAACATTAAAGAATTTTTCAACCCGAGATGGCTTCTGAACTTCTGTCTGTTCTGATGTGGGTTGCTCAAATGCCTGAATTGCGGCTTCCGCTGCTTTTTTCTCCGCAGGCATGCTTTGCAGGGTATGCCAAATTTTTTTCCAAATGCCTCCATTCTCCAACAGTGTTTTCTTGTCTTTTCCGCCCTCTATCACTGCATCCCAAAGCAGCTGCCCCAACTCTTGCCATTCGGTTTCACTAAAAATCAGCGAAGGCTTTTGCAGCTTGCCTTTGCTTCTTGCCCACAGGACCAACTGCTCTAAATCGGCTTCTTTTACTTTTTCAACTCTCTTTGAGAGAATATGAAAGAGAAGCCGCACTGAAGCCTGCAGATCCCCATCCATGGTGAACATTCACCCTCTCTTTCTGTCCGCGGCTTACCTCCAACCTCTGCGGTTTGCTTCGCTCTCGCTTTTCTTCGGCAAGGCAGCAACTCCGCTCCAGCTTCCCGGCCCCGGCCAAGTCCACACCCGCCGTTCGGGTCCCTTGTGAATGCCGAGGTCTTCCCACTGCTCCAACAGACTCTCACAAACAAACAACAATGCGAAGAGTGTTTTTTCTCCCGTTGGGAAACGGCCCAATTCGGAGTTTGGAGACTTCTGCTCCGTTCCACTTGATCCCCGTTCACAAAAAGTGAATTTGGGATCCCGGCCCTGTCGCCATAAGGCGATTTGGACCTGAATTTTCGTCGCGCGACTCAGACTCAATTCCCCGTTACTCTAAAAGTTATTTGGGAGTCTTTTCGGAGCCTCCTGAGTCCCTGTTCCGGGCGCCACTAGAAGCCAGGGAATCTCAGAAAAACGGAAAGCTGGATGAGACAAACGCAGGTCCAAACCAATGTGGTTAATCAAGCGTTCTCCCTTTATTCAAGATAAGATGGCAGTTTATATAAGCTTCCACATAGTTTACAAAAACAAAGACACTCTGATTGGTAGGCTAACATTGTTTACCTTTTCCTTAAAACGGCCTACACCTTACACTATAAAACCTATACTAATTCATAGCCAAATAGCCCAGTGGTCCCCCTCACACCTTAAGACATTTTCTATCTGCGCCACAAGCTCTGAATTTCTAACTGCGTCAGAGGCTTGAAGCCTCACCAGGCCTCAATCTGAGGCCTAGACTGGAGTAGCTCAAATTTCATAATTCATGTCCTCTTTCTCTCAAAAATGCTGCAACACCTTAAAGCTTCTCCGATGTTGTTCTTCAGAGGTTGAATGATCCCAGGTGTGATGAGAAATTTTGATTAACTAAAATTTTTTTAAATCCTAGCCGTGGAACAACAATATTCATAATACATATTTCATACTATGATAAGTATTAGAAATCAAAGTCTGCAAATTTTTCTTCCATATGGTGCAAAAACAGCTTAGTAATAACCCTCCTTCAAGTCAAGGAGCCACCTTTTGAGTACCAATCTTTTCAAGACCAGTGCCCGAGCCTTTCCTTTCACTCCAGGTTGTAGTGTAAGCGGTGGGGGATTAGGTCTAAATTCAAAACTCCCTGAAATCAGCAGGAAGATTTATCTTGTACCACAGGAAAGGCTAGGTCCAAAATGGGTTTCAGTGCCTTTGGTGGTGAAGTCTTGTCCCCTAGCTGATGCTTCTGTATTTACTATAAATATATTGTATCTGTCTACAAAAAGATTGTGTGGAAACACAGAGAACAAGCAATCATTTCTTAAATAAACAGAACTTTTAGGATCTGCCACCTTCAAACTAATAAAGGGAGAATGTTTGATTGACCATATTGGCCTGATCTGTGTTTGTCTAGCCCAGCTTTCCTGTCTAGTGAGGTCCCTGGCTTTGACTGAGACCCCTATAATCCTAACACAGGGTGCTGCCCTGACTGAAGCAGGATGTTTGCCATGTGGTGCCTGCAGGTATGTTCGCTGGACCAAGGAAATAATGGGTCTTGCTCACTGCTGAAATTGACTTGCCCTGCTTCGGAACATGGACTGTCTGTACCCATTTTTCAATAGACTCATTGTTCCATTACTTGTTCCCACCCACTAGGCAGAGGACTGTAGAAGACCCTTAAGTTAACCAAGACTTTGAGACTCTCCCTGACGGACATGATGAACTCTTACCAGCTGGACCACCACCACAGTCTCTCCGCTGGTAACTATATCCCTCTTCCCCTCTTTCTCTCTCTTTCTCTCCTTTATTTCCTTTCTAATCCTTCTATCTCATTTGTTGTGGGCACTTAATAAAAGGTGCATTTGTTGTGATTAAACTGATGGTCCCCTGCTGTTTGTCTTTTTCACTTTTGGGATTGGTAAAACAAACCATCATGACCCCGCTTGTCCTAGCACACAGGTTGTTAGGTTGAGTTAATTAGTTTGTTCTCAGTTCCCCCCATGTGTGGTTGCACCCCAAGATACCTCCATTTCCTGGAATGTCAATCCTACCTCCAATCCTCCCATTCCATAGAGAATTCCCTGTCTGTCCCTGAATCTTCTCCCAGACACCTTCTGCCACTCAGTCTTCTATCCCCTTCTCTGGAAACTTCCATGAGAGGTATCGAGTGATTGGACTGGGGCCAGGAGCTCCTCCCATTAAACCCTCTCAAAGGTTGTTTTGATTGTCAGTTATCTCACAGTTCCCCACCTTTTTGTTCCCCTATTGGTGGACAGCTGAACTCCTCCTTTGTCACTCCCCCTATACTTTAGGTGTTGTTCCTCTGGTGTTGTACCCCCTGAGGCCAGGAGTTCCTTGTTCTTCTCAATACAGCCTTGGATTAAGTACCCTCCAAAATGCCTACTCCCTTCTTCCACCATTATCAGTCATGTCCTCCCGAGGAAGGGGCTAACATTCTTAACTGCCCTTCTGCACTCCCAAGCATGGAAGAGTGTCCCCTGAAGTCAGCATCGTCAGAGCTAGCATGGAAGGGCAGAGCGGTTGCCTGGGGGATGCTGCATCAACAGATGCAACATGAGAAAATAGAAAACTATAATAAAAAGCAACCTTAACATTTGCATCAAGCCAGAAGCAAATTTGTTCTTATAAACCTGAAAAAAAACATTTTACTTGGATACACTAAACCTCCTCCAAAAATTCTTTGTCAATAAAAGACCTATTCACACCCTAATGTGTGACAAATCAACTTCTGAGTGTCCATATAGTGGTACTTCATTGTCATGGACTAAATGGTGCTATCAAGGGAGCTTCACTATTGCTGTAAACCTTCTGTTTCCATGAAGGAGGACTGTAAATCTCCTTACTGTGCTGGGAAGTCTGTCATACAATCCAGCTTCCAAGGCCTGGGCATTTACTCTGGATACAAGCCAGCCTCTGTATCAGGGAGTCCCTCTCCAGGTAAGCTCTGCACCCACAAGGTTTCCCTTGAACTGTCTCCATCAGTATGCTCAGGTTGTCCATCAGTTTTGCAAATCAGTTCCTGGCTGCACTGGTAAATGAGTGTCCAGAAAGCCGGGAGTGTACATTAAGACACAACAACAAAAAGGAAACATCAAGCAGGTTATCAGTTTTTATTTCTTGCAATATCACATTCTTTTTCATTTATACAGGATAGAATCTGTAAATATTCTGAAATACTGTTCAAACTTTGCTTTTTAGGGATATTAATTCAATTTATTGAAAACAGCATGATCAAAGAAGAAAATTCCTGAAACTGAATCTAAACACATTTCATTCAATGGCAACTTTTATACCAATTTAGTGTTTAGTCTTCTGGAAAATGCATCACCTCGTCTTTGTCCTGCTGTTTCCCTTTATTCACATAAATTATCCCTCTTCTAATATCCTTTTTTCTGTGACAAAAATGTGGGGACTCTGAAACTAGAGGTTAATAAAGAACCAGGGATGGCAGCAATGCAGATGAACCAAGGGAGCCCGTATCAGTTCTCACTATAAATAAACTCCAGAAACAATTTGCAGCCTTCTGCTTCCATGGCTATATACACTGAAAGGATAAAATATCCTATCAGCTGTTAAAGAAAATTAATCTGTTCTGCCGGTGCTCTCTTCTCCCCTCTGCTTTTCCCTTGCCCCGGCTAGCTCTGGGGAGAAGGGGAGAGGGCAGATCTCCAGTGCTTCCCGCTGAACCCTTGCGGGCTTTGGGCAGCGCTGTCGGAGTTCGGAGAGCAGTCAGAGACCCCACGGCGATTTAATGAAGAGAGTCTTTCTCCGGGGGGCGAATTCCATTTATTGCAATCCAACGGGAATACAATAATTTGAAGGGAACCAGGCGTGCCGCACCTGTGTTTGCCAGAGCGGCGCGAGCGGGTGGAGTGCGCTGGAGCCGGCCAGGAGAAAGCCCCGGGGTGGCTTGGGCGGGCGGCGGCGCGCGCTGGGGCCAGCCAGGAGAAAGCCCGGAGTGCGCTGTGCGCACGGACTAAGTACAGAACGGGAGAAAACCGGAGCAGCCGATGGGGTAACGCCACGGGAGGTTTGAGGGTAGTGGGGTACAGGGGTACATCCAATGAAGGACGGACAGGTGGAGGGTCCCTGGTCCTCTGCCTATCACCCGGCGTCCTGGGTGAAAGATTCCAGGTGGGGGGGAAGGGACACGGAGTGACAGACAGGCATCTGTAGTAAACAAGGTGAATGACTTGGCATTTTTGGGGACAACAGACCCGCGGGGAAAGACGGGAAAACCCGGGGGGAACCATTACAGAACCGGGGGTACATGGAACAAACCTATACATAATGCAAATGTAATAAAACCTAAAAAACACAACTCTACACTGTTCCAACAGTACAGAGAATGTAGAAGAGGGGAAACAGCCCCAGTAAAATTGGTATTGACTAGCCCAAGATATAACCTCTAGTCAAAGATGCCTATCATAATATTCAGAAATATCTCTTCAGAGCTATGATCCAGAATAGTTTAGATAAAAATCATAAAAATGGAAATGGTATAACCACCCTGACTTATTTATTTTTTTTAATATATTTCTGCTACAACAATATACTGTTAAAATTACCTTGTTTGCTCAGAACATCCTCCAGTTCAGAGATGGAGCTGATTATTGCAGTATAGAGGTTAGAGCTAGTCAACCAGTCAGGTGCTTCAATACAGTCAACTCCTTCCTCTTCAAAACCTGGGAAACAGAATTGCAGCTAGCAGGATAAGTGAATCACTAAGATATGGCACACTGCTACCTCCAGCTCTTTCAGAAATTAACCAAAAATAAGTGTATAAACAACAAATAAGTCAGGAAAATTCAGACTGCTTTAATGCTTCCAGAAGTACTAAAAAAAAAGTAGATTAATCTTCTAATTTGCAAAACATTTTTGATACCATTTATCCTTGCAGAGGGACGTATAAAATGGTCTGGCAACAGAAAGGGCCAAGTAGACTTAATCTCTAAAGAAAATTTCAAAATCCTATGCTAATATTTTACCTGAATAAGAAAGCAATTTTTGTGGGTTTTAATAGGAAATAAATATTAAAAATTATTTTTAAAAGAAAAGGAAATACCTTGATGTAAAAAAAAAAAAAAAAAAAAAGGTGATGGTTAATAATTTAGGAACATTGCAAGATATTTACCACACAGAAGATGCTGTAGCACCTAGTTCTGAAATCCATAAGACAAATACCAAAAGTAAAAGATAGTGTCGAGTTCATGTGCATAATTGCAATTTTATGTCAGTGCTTAACATAAGATTAGGCATTTCCTCTTAGAGTGAAATACATTTTTCAAGCAACATAAAAACCATAAATCTGTAAATAATATTTGTCTAAGTATCATTAAATATGTCTTTCTGCTCCAGCAATAATAATAATATTGCTCTTTGTTACTCCCTAACCATGTAATTTGACATAACTTTTTAAGAACATTTCACTTACGTGACACATGCCTGCCTCTGGATTCTCCCACACAAACTTGAATTCCAGTGCATCCTCTGTCCAGACAAAAAGGTACAAGAATATCAGGCCAGAGCCCTCAGCCTGTTAGCAGCCAGAATTTCAATCATAGCTCTTTGGAAGACGTAAATCAGGTGCTTGGCTCTTCTCTGCCTCAGTCTGCCTTTGCCTTGGCTGTTTTCCACATTAGTAGGGAAAGCATAAAGGAGCCTGGTGATCTTCCAGTTCAATAATTTGTGGTGGTTCCCCTGTTCTTGGAGAATGTCTCTTTGTTAAGACACAGCACACAGTCTGCCATAGAGAGGACACAGAGCCCCTGACAGCACTGCACAGGCTGCCAGCAGGGATGAGTGTGCCTTGTGAGCATTTGATAATGTACTTTTCATGAAATTGTTTTCGTGGGCCAGTTTCTCACAGACTTGTTCAAGGCCATACAGTTTTTGCGTGTTTTTCTGTGCTGTTTCTTCACATTCCTGCAACATAAATAAACCAAACAAAAATGGAAGAAATATTAACTAGTTGGTTTTACCTAGACAAGAGCAAAAAGAAAATTCTTAGTTTTGCCATTCAAATGATGCATTAAAGAACTCAAAAATTCTTAGTAATGATGGTGATGAAAGTATATCTTCTAGTCAATGATTACAGAATCAGATATATGAAACCAAAGCAATGATAGGAGGGAAATTTACAGGATCATCAACTGCAAATTGGATTCCTGATTTCTAACAACAATCCACCAAGATTGTGACAGCTCACAGAAGGTCCAACACCACTTGTCTGCTTACAATACAGTTTTGTGAGTTGATTTAACAATAGTAGTAACATCCTCCAGTTTCAGAGAGACCACTGCTCTACCAAGCAGAAAGCCAGTGTGAGAGGAAAAAGGTAAGGAAGGCTGGAACATGAAACTAGACAGATTAAATTTTTCAGCATGCAAAGACTTCCAGTCCTGAAAGCTGCATCAAATACAGCATTATTCTGTGAAGTAAGTTGCAGTAACTCACAAATAACAAGGAACATCGGTTTCCTTTATTCACAATGCTTTTAATTGAAACAGATGTGAAGGAATGTGATGGTAAAGACAGTAAATGGTGGTTGTGGAATAATGGGTAGCACTTTGGATTGCAAATAACTCATCTAACAAGCAGTGGCAGTTTCACACTTTAAAACCACTTCTTCCTGTAGCATCACTAAAGCAGAGTCACTTAACACTGTCGAAATCTACCACCGTTCTTAGCGTTAGTACATATGTAATTAAATTTATCCACAGGTAACACCACATTATTGTTACTCCATACAATCTCTGCAAATGAGGATGCTGAAAAAGTAGCTGATGCACTCAGTAATTCTTAGAAAAAAGGAAATTCAATCTTGCAGCTTTAACACTCTCAGAAAAAAAATACTATCCACTGTAGATGAAATCAGGCTTCTCAGCTGAGACTGTAGACCAAATTCTTTTCAACAAATGCTTCAACAAAGTCATTTATTTCTTATTGTAAGTGATGTTAATATTATCACAGTGATGAGGTGGTTTGTTTTCTGAGGTTTTTTTACTTTTTATATACAATTATTTAATTCCCAATAATTCCCAATGACTTCCCTTAAACTGCTAAGGGGCTTAAACTACTGAAATAATCCTGTGAAAAAGGCCAATCACTTGGTTTTTAACATTTTAAAAGTTTAATAATAATTAAATGGTTATAAAAAGAGTAATACAAAAGCAAAGATTTACGGATGTCTCGATGCTCTTGGGCACTTAAACCATGACAAGCATGCCTGTGGGAATCCAGGACTTCCCTCTGGCTGCCCTGGCAGGTCTGGGACCCTGGCAGGGGTCAGGAACCCCCCTGTACAGAGCCCCGGGAGACACTGTCTGTGATCTCTGTCCATGGAGAGGAGTTTTCAATCTTACAGGATGAATTACAAGCTTTGAGTGTTTGATAAGAGTAATAATTAAGTGTGACACGGGTGCAAAAGTAAAATTTTAAATTTCTAGATTAGGCGTTCAGAGGGGACAAGATGGAGGAATTGGGTGTGTCTTGTCCTTTTCCTCCTTCTTCATGCCCTCCATGTTTCACTGTAGTGTTGGCATTTTTCTATTGGTTTAGGCTGGGGACACATTGTTCAACGTAGATGATAGATATTGGCACATTATTGTAAATATAGTACACGTAATTTCTGGTATATAATGTTTGTACCATCCCACTGAGGGGCAGAGCCCCGCACACTGCCCTGCAGGACAGAGCTGCGGCAGGGCAGCAGAACTTGTTATAGATAAGCAAAAATAAACAACCTTGAAAACAGCACAGACGAACTATGGCTTCTTCTTTGGCAACGGGGCAGAAAGACAGAGACTTTCTACAATCTCAGAATCACCAATACCCACAGATTCCGACAAATGGCGTCCCTGCACGGGCTTCAGCAAGAAGAACAAGAAGAAACACCAAACAACCTCCAACCTTCATCAGCAGAGAAAAACAAAAAAATAAAGAAAGGAAGAAGAACAGAGCACAAATGCTCTCGGCAAATTCCAAGAAGAGAGGGAGCGGAAAGCTCAAGATAAGAACCTGACCTTCACCAAGACAGCTCGTCTGGAGGACAGCCAGGAGGAGGAAAACCAGAAGCGCGCCTGGGATTTCTCGCCTGGGACCTGCTGGACGATGAACAGTGCCATCTCCGGACTGACCTCGTGCTGACTCAGCTTTTGGTGAGAATGGTTGAAATTAAGTACATGGGGAAGGGATGCTCCCAAGGACAGACAAAAATTTTTTTTTCAGCCCTACAGGGCAAGACTTTTACCCATCTGGTAGAGATAGCCTCAAATGAGATTAAAGCTTTGTTATTGTGGGTGCAGTATAATCACCCGCACACAGATGTACATCTTTTGTTTGAGTTAAATTTTTGGCAAGGGATCAATAAGCAACTGTATTACCGAGCCACAGAAAAAAAAAAGAGAAAAAAAAGATAAGACTGCCGCAAAATCTTTGCCTTCAGCAAGGACAATAAGAGACTTTCACAACGCGGCATTTTAGACTAAACAGCTAAGGCTCCTATGGGAGCACAAGGAGGAAGATGGCCCAGCCAGCAGCTTGGGGCAATTTTCCTCACCAGGGGAAGCAAGATTGCCTCCCGAAGAGGATCGGGGGGGATGGTGTCTCATCATGTCCTGTGTCTCCGGGTTCACACTGTTCCTCAAGACTCCCTCAAATCTCAATTTCTAAGCTCCTCAGCTGCAGAAAATCCCCAGACAGTGAGACAAGCTAGGCACAGACGCAGTCCTCGGTGGGGGAAGGGACTGGCCATTGTCTGAGTCCGAACCCACGGTGGGGGGGCAGCAGCGCCGGCGGCTCCTGGGGGGAGGGGGCAGTCGTGAGTGCAGAGCGGAGGGAAAAGTGAGAAAGAGGAGAGAACTCTCGCAGCTGCGCGGGTGGGGAGTTCAAAACAGCCCGCGGTGCAGGCGAGAGGGGGGGGCAGTGGGAACCACGCGGACGCAGGAGGCGGCAGGAGCGCGGGTGCGGCGGTCAGACGCCCGGAGCGCCCGGTGATGCGTTCCATGACGAGAATCCGTGAAACCGCGAAAGCGATCGCCCAGCAGGCGCCGGGGAATAGCTCCCAGTTCGCAGCGGCGGCGCTGGCCAGGCGCGCGGCTGGACAGAGCGAGACTCGTCCGTTGCCGCGGCCATGGCAGCGCGCATGCGCGAGATGGTAGAGCAAACCCGGAAGCTGAGGCGGGGATCTCTCGCATGTCGAACGCACGGGCACGGGCGCAGACGGCGTCGGGGGCGGCGGTGGCCGCCAGCCAGCCGTCCGCAGACTGCACGGTGGCCGCGGGGGGAGACCGAGAGGCGCGGGGCTGGGCGGGACGCGGCGCGGGGCTGCGGCAGCGCGGAACGCGGCGAGCGCGCGCTGATGACGTCAGCAGAGCGCCGAATCGCGCTGGGCTCCAGCAGCAGTTCGGGGACCGAGAGAGCCAACCCAGAGTCAGACCGGGGTGGCGCCAGGCCTGACAGAGAGAATGGGGGGGGCGTTCCCGAAGCGCGGCCGCGCGGAGCCGGTGCAGGCGGGCGTGGTCGGTGTGGGGGTTCCTTCCCTTGTTCCCATGGCGACACAGACAGAGGGGATGAATCCAGGCTGCGCATGCGTTTGCGAGAGTTAAAGCGAACGCGGAAGTGGCTGAGAATGGGGGTGCTGGGTTTGGAAAGGCGGATTGCAGGCACTGGTTCGGCACAGCTGACAGCGGGTGTGAGCAGGGAGGGAGAGCAAGAGAGAGGCGCAGACATCCTAACGCAGGCAGAAGCGGGGTTTGACTGCACCAAAAGTGCTCCCAGTGCTCTCATGCCGGTGAAGATGGGGGCTGAGCAGAGCCAAGGCAGGGATTTCCTTTGATCACCCTTTCTGCACAGCAGGTGCGAGCGATGCACCGCCCATTTCCTTTCAGCAGCGGCGGCAAACAAAAAAATCACAACAGCCACAGCAAACAACTTTTTACAAGCAGCAAATACCCTACAGCAATGCTGAGGGATGGGACTCCCAATTTTCACCCTGAAATGAAATTCCATCAGTCAGTCGCTTTTTGAAACCAGTCAACACAAGGCCTTTTTCAAATCTCCCCAATGTTTCTAAACACTAACCCCAGATTTTTCAGTTAGGTCACAGAATTGATCAAGCAGACACGCCCAGCCGGTGTGATGATAAGTAATGATTGTGGAACACAATGTGAAAAAGAGATATCATAATGAAAATTGAAATAGAGAATTAAATAGCATGAAATGTTAGTAATTTATTATATTAAGGTTTAAGTTAGGTTGTATTTTAATGTTCTATTAATGATAGAATTGATTTTTATATAGTTGGTTTGAGTTTAAGTTAAGTATTGTTTAATTAGAGTATATCACTTTAAGTTTATTTTAGGTTTGGGCCCTGAAGAAGTTAAGTTTATAAAGGTTTTATTGATAATGGATTTATATATTGTTAATTTGATGCATACGGATTTTGTAAAGTTAATATAATTTAGGGATTCTTTACTAAGATTGTTATGTATTGAGTTTAAGTACTGTTTGATTCAAAAATTATTTTAAGTTTTTCAAAGGTCAAATTTATTTAGCAGCAAAGTTTAGTTGTTTTTCTTTAAGGATGAGAAGGTTTTGTCTGAAACAGTTGACAAAGTAATAATGAACATTGATTTAAGGAGAAGACACAATTTATTGGATCTTTGGTTTTGTTTTAGTATTTTCTGTTTTATTATAGGTTTATCAGTATATAAGAGTTGTAAAGGAATTTATTTTGAGTTTTCTGAGATTGATTTCATTGTTTAAAAATCAGTTTTATAGTCTGTTATTTCTTTGTATAATGATACAAAGGGCATTTGTTTTCAAATCCATTATTTTTAACTATTTAAGTGTTCTATAAACGTTATTGTTAAGAAATTTTATCATGTTATCAAGTGAAGATTTGTGCTTTGTTTTTTCA